TTCTGGTTACGGAAGAAAATTCCTCAGCTCCTCTGGTTCCAGCCCTGCTATGTCGTAAACAACATTCGTTTGCTGATGTAGTGTCCATTGGCGCCGTGCTCTGGCGGTGATGTGCGACCCTCGGCGGCCATCTCTCACCGTCTGATGATCCCGCCCAGATGCTGGCGTACTATTGCCGCCCGCACTCGTCCATCCGCTCTCGTGATGATATGTTTCTATCCGTCGCCGCCCCGCTCCATTTGTCACCGTAGTCCGTTACTGCGCCGGCCGTCCGCGGCCCGGGGCGGCCGTCATTACGCTCTGCTGATACCCGACCTTTAGCCGACCTATCTGTCTCTGCACAGTGCATCAGTCTCTGTATGGTGGACTATGGCCGGCTCTCTCCGTCTTCACACATTTTTGTTCTCCGGCTCTCCCCACCTTGCCGCATGCGTCCGTTACCGGTTCTACGTGTTTTGCCGCGCGACTGTTACGGGAGTCTCCACATACTGTAGTTACCGACCCCTCCATACACAGCCGTAGCCGGCTGTTATCCCCGGGGCTCTAATCGTCTCCACATACTGTTGTTACCGGCACCCACATATTGCTGATATCGGCTGTTACCGCCGCTGTATCCACATACTGTTGTGATCGGCTCTCCCCCGTTTCACTGTATTGTCGCCGCCGGCCTCTGGTCTGGCTGTGCGGCCGCCGGTGGCGCCGTGTGACCTGGCCTGCCGGTGCGGCGCGGAGCGGCGCGGCGGCTGCGCGCGACGCGGCTCGGCCGCCGGCCCAGGTCGGCTGGCCGGGCGGCCGGTCGATACCAGGCGGTCGGCTGGGCCCCGGCCGGCCCCGACCGGTCTCCCGGCGCGCCGCGCGGCACGGCCACGGTCAGCCGCCGGGCGTCCGAAGACCGACGCCGAGACGGAGACGGAGACTGACGCACAGACGGAGACGGAGACTGACTCACAGACGGAGACGGAGACTGACGCACAGACGGAGACGGAGACGGAGACTGACGTACAGACGGAGACGGAGACGGGGAGGGAGACCGACGCACAGACGGAGACGGAGACCGCTGCCACCGCCGCTGACCTGGAGAAGGCTGCTGGGACTGAGACGGGTGCCGGGGATGAAGACGGGGACAGAGACGAGACGGGCACGGAGACGGAGACGCAGTCTGCTGGGACTGTAGCCGGGGACGGCGCCGGGGATGAGGGTTGAAATGGAACTGGAGCCGGCGACTGTTACACGCTGCGGTGTTTTTACCACCTCACAGCGCGTGGCGGGGTAATGGAAGGGGCTTCTGGACGAGGAGGAGGGAGACACGCTCTCTGGGAGGCTCGCTGTTTGTTGGATTTGGCTGGCGCGAGCTCCCTCGCGGATCATAGCGGATCATGCCGGCTGCTCCACCTTGTATGTTTAGTTCTACGCTCCTAAGGTGGGCCTGATGAACTGTCAGTCGAAAAACTTGGCATGCGCCATTTGCAGCTCTGTTTTCTGCTGGCCACAGTCGTTTGGCCAAATGGTTTCCGATGAGTGAGCATCGTTCAGTGGTCAAGGTCGTCCTCCAATTTCAGACCGGAGGCGAACAGCTTAAATTGAATGTGCGTTTCCGCGATGGTCAGCGTTTTTGTTGCTCCACGGGCTCGGTCTCGGCCTCGACTGATGGGCGCTGGCCCACGACGTGCCACGTGCAGAGTTCGGCGCTGCTGGGCCTGTCAGCGTCGGGGGGGGGGGGGGAGGGCACTTGGGCGCGACTAGCAATGCGCCCAAGCCAAAGCGAATTAGCTTCCTGGGGTAGAGGCGTCCATAGTAACATCACTGAAAATCCCTCGGCTGAGGCCCATCGAAAACTCCTTGGGGCTCACCTGGCAAGAGGCCTAATATGGCCGATGGGGGACATTATTGGAGTGGATGTGAGGGCTCCAGCTCCACGGCCGTATGTGAAGATTAGCCAATCCTTCCACAACAACAAATCTGAGTAATAAAGTTGAAAAAGGTTAAAATAGAAAATGATAGTAATAATAATAATGCTGGGAATTTACGAAATCTGATGACCAAGAGTTGTAAACCAAAATTAAAATAAAATCTAAATCTTTTTGGATTTGTTCAGCATTGTAACAATACTGAACAATGCTGGGAAGCTAATGAGTGATACCAAACCAACATACTTGGGAAATGCTTGGTTAGCTGCTACGGCGATGTTTTTCTTATGAAGAAAACGAAAATCAGAAACAAAATGAGCATCTACTAACACGGCACAGTTGGTGCAGCGTGTGCGCCTAGCGGGGCACTCGGCGCGGATGCGTCTGTCCACTGTCGAGCGATTCATCCGGTTGGCATGAATCTGATGCATATCAGCGCAGGATTCGACTAACAAAAACGTCGTAGCAGCTAGTCATTTGCATTGATTATAATGCATCCGAACAAGTTGGGAAATATGCACTTGCCTTGGAAATGTACTTTGTTTGAATAAGCCCATCTCGATGGGATGTAAATTTGCTAACTATAACAATTTCGCTGAGCGCGATGGCTTTAAGCGGTGTTCAGTAGGTCTTTAGTGTGCTATGTAAATAATGGCGAATTTGCCTTACGTGGTGATTTAACAATTTCAAAGTTTTAATAGCCTCGGGTCCGGTGTGTCAGGGTTCGGTCCCGATCTGTGATCACCGCTAATCCATTCTCGATCGGGCGGACCGTTAAATAACGCAAAACTTCCGATTGGCTTCCATCTGGGCCCCTAACCTTCGGAATCGCTTCGGCCATGGATGACCATTGACCCTGAGCAGGCTACCAGAGAGTCGTCGTCAGGTGTTTCATCAACTTATCGATGCTTCTGAATAAATCACATTTTGTTCTCTGCGGTTAACTCGCGAATTGCTGCAGGGGGGGGGGGGTGGATGGCATGGTTTCGTCTGTCCTCCATTTGACACATCGAATTGGGCGCCTGTCGCCAAATTCGGTGCCGCGGTATGGAACGCTAGAGAGCAGCATATCGCTAGGCCCGCGTCATTATTTGTCACGCGTCATCATTATGTGCGACATGTCACATATGGTACCAACTTTGGAAGTAAGCTGGCAAGTTGACAGAGAGCTTCTCTTCAGATTTAGGAGGATTATGACCCCATCTACTTGCGGTGTGCTCAGCTTTCGGTTTGGCACATGCAAGGTCCGGTAGAGGGTTACTTGGCGATGTGTCATCCGCAGCAAGTCCTGCCCTAACGCGACACCTGGACTCACAGACACCCACTCCGCCATTCAGACTGAGTTACCTTATAGACCGAATTAGCGACTCACACTTATGCATGTGCTGCCGGTTTTCGGTTTTGTACGCCGAAGCGTTTTGGACGCATGGCTGTGGTCGAATCTGATATGGTATCATAGAATTGACTTATCAAGGCACACCGTGTTCTGAGGTTCTGCTTGATGTCTGCCCGCGCTGGGGTGGCTAATTTCTTCCACGTGCCGCAGGATATCTGTCACCGCGGGCCGCGGGGCGACCACTTCGTTCCACGTACCACAGGGTGTCTGTCACTGCGAGGTGACCGATTCGTTCCACGTAATGTAGGGTGTCTGTCACTGCGAGGTGACCGATTCGTTCCACGTAATGTAGGGTGTCTGTCACTGCGAGGCGACCACTTCGTTCCACGTACCACAGGGTGTCTGTCACTGTAGGGGCGACCACTTCGTTCCACGTACCACAGGGTGTCTGTCACTGTAGGGGCGACCACTTCGTTCCACGTACCACAGGGTGTCTGTCACTGTAGGGGCGACCACTTCGTTCCACGTACCACAGGGTGTCTGTCACTGTAGGGGCGACCACTTCGTTCCACGTACCACAGGGTGTCTGTCACTGTAGGGGCGACCACTTCGTTCCACGTACCACAGGGTGTCTGTCACTGTAGGGGCGACCACTTCGTTCCACGTACCACAGGGTGTCTGTCACTGTAGGGGCGACCACTTCGTTCCACGTACCACAGGGTGTCTGTCATTGTAGGGGCGACCACTTCGTTCTACGTACCACAGGGTGTCTGCCACTGTGGGGTGACCGAACCGTTCCACGTGCCACGGGGTATCTGTCACCGCGGGCCGGGGGGCGACCACTTCGTTCCACGTAATGTAGGGTGTCTGTCACTGCGAGGTGACCGAACCGATTCTTTTCACGCTGCGATAAGCTCACGTTCTGTTCGATATGACCAATGTAATCATTCTGATGCCGCTGTCAGCACCTTTCATAAATCCGCTTCGTTTATTCGTCTGGCAATATTGCAGCTATGACTCTCACTCCGGTGCCTCGGAAACTGCTGACCACTAAGCTCTAACCTGTAAAATCCATTTTCCGATGGTTACAACCATCCGTATTTCTTAAACCAACTCTTATTTGGTGCTGGCTCCTTAGTTGGTTGCTGAAAAGCCATTTTAAATCAGACTCGAAAGGTCTGGTTCGGAAACTTCTGCAACTGGTCCAATATGGATGAACCAGTAAGACCCCATAATCCCAAACCAATGCTGGTATTAATTGGTTATGCTTGCATACCGGGTGTAGCGGGAACAATTTGAGCACCTCACTAAGGATTCGGAACTACAAAACTTCAAATCATTCAAGGATTCGCCATCGCATCAACTTTGGAATCTTGAGTTAGATTCTCACTGGTACTCGCCCTAGATTAGTTCAGGCATACCGCTGTGATCTGGAATGACCTGGATCGATCAGCTTGCCGTGATCTGGTGCTTTTAACTTACCGTGACCGGCCTGTCAGCTTGTCGTCATCGGGTCCGGTCAACTCGCCGAGTTATCCCGCCGCCTGGTTATCCCGCCGTGACCTGCCGTGACCCGGTCCGGTCGGCCGGCTGTGACCAGGCGCCGTCTCCGTGAGACGTGTGCGGCCGGCGCGCCGGCGCACGCCGCTATTGATTGGGGAGCGGGTCGGCTCGGCGGTGCGGCCGCGCCGGCTGCCCGGCGGCCAGTGAGCCGGCTCGGGCCGCCGGTCGAGGCGTGTCGCCCGCCGCTCCGCCGAGCCGCCGCCGCTCCGCCGAGCCGCCATGGCCTCTCGGAACGAGCGGGCGCGCCGCGACCGCGCCGCGCGCCGCCAGACCGAGCTCGAGAAGATCCGGCGCAAGTACGTGCCGGGCGACTCGTTCAGCTCTGGCTCGCCGCCGAGCGCGCCCAGCCCGGCGTCAGCGCGCCCGCCGCCGGCCGCGCGCCGCCAGGACAACCAGGTAACGCCGCCCCCGCCGCCGCAGGGCCGGCCCCAGCCCCCTTCCGGCGCCCGTGGCCGCTGGCAACATGGCCGGCCCCCAGCCCCTTCTGGCATCCGTGACCGCTGGCTGTTGTGCACACTGCCCGACTAACCGTGGTAGTCATACAACTGTTCGACTGTGTCATTGTTATCCCTGGCCTGCACCTATGTTGGGAATAGTTATAGTTACAAAACTGCAGATTGTCAAATCCCGGACATTGGCGACTTTTGGTCAAACAGGCTCATTGGAAATTTTAGCTGGGTTTCCAATGATTGTTTTTCGACATCGAATGTATGAATTTAATTTCTTTGAATATAAAATTCAGGGTGCTTCCGTACCCTTTCATTATTTTCGCGGTGAGCTGTCACACAGACAGGTATGCCTCTGTTCCGTTGTCTTACGCGCTGTTCGGCTGTTCCACGCGCCGGGCACCGTTCAATACTCGGCGCGACCTTGCTCTTTCTTTGCCGCCCAACGGAGCGCTCCAAGTTGGCCGGCAGTGGGCGCACTCGTGGTCTGTGCCGGCGCCGAGGTGCGGCCGAGTGGACCGTGCCATCGATCTGTCGACACCGGCCGTCGTCGCCGCTGGGCCAGCACTGACATTGACCCGCCTCCGTGGCAATACCGGCCCGGGGTGGCGCGCTGCCGAGACGGCGACCGGCCGGCCCACCTCCGCGCCGCTGACACCTACCTCGGGGGACTGTTCCGTTCGTGATGCGTTCTGTTCCCTAGTTTCCGTTCTTTCCTGTTTTGGGAGGTCTGTTGGAACATTAATGTGGTCGCCATTATTGTATAATGCTGAAAAAGTCTCTCCATTCTCCAGACCAGCGATGAATGACTGGAGGGAGACTGGTTGCAGGCCTCTGCCGTCGGTGAAGTTGCGTTAACATGCTCTTCCGCCGTGTCCGCTGGAGGCCCGTGGCGTGCTCATTCCTTTTTCTTTTCATGATTTCGGCGAAATGTGTTGAATGGGCGAATATACGGCGCCGGAGCCCACGCTAGGCAGAGGCTGTTGCGCGGGACTTGGCCTCCGCCGCCTGATCGGGAACTGGCCAGGTGCAGGCTGAGCTCGGACTCCACCGATCTACCCCGAATCTACCTACCTAACTAGGGCCTATGTTCTTACAAAAACAGTGAGATAGCGCTGTTTAGTAACGCGCTCGCTGCTGGAGAGGTCCGTGTCTCTGGCTAAGGAGTCTGTACTCACGTGGTTGGGTGCCGTTCAGTGTTCATCTACGACCCGGACTGAGGATGCCAGGATGATAGCCGAGCCCACTTCTACTAATAACTCGGCCTAATATGCTAGAAACGGGCCTTAAAACCAACAGAATACTGCTTCCTCAAGCTTTTATGTACTCATCAGTTTCTAATATGGTTTTTATTGGAAGGTAGTTCGAGTTTCCCCGGTTTCAGTTCATTTTACGTCGCGTTGATGGCTGATGGCGACGCTGCCTTACAAGCCAAGAAGGGTCTGTTGATTTTATTTATGCAGGAGCGACCGATTATCGTAGCACATTTAGGGCCTGATGGCCGCCTCGTGTTCATGGCTGCTTTATATTCCATAAACTATTTGTTTGCGCTGTAGGTGATGACACGAGGAAATGACATGAGCAGGTTAGTGTCCCTGGCGGCAGCTGCGGCAGTTTTAGGGGAGGGAGAACTGTGGCATTTCCGGCAGCTGTAGAGAGGGCTGTGACAGCTACCACAGCTGTAGAGAGGGCTGTGCCAGCTGCAGCTGCGGGGAGAATTGTGTCACTGTGTCAGGCACGGCAGCTGCTGGGGAGGGCTGTATCAGCTGCCGCCGGCTGCGGGGGAGGGCTGTGACAGCTGCCGCCGGCTGCGGGGGAGGGCTGTGTGAGCTGCGGTTGTGGGGTAGGGCTGTGTCAGCTATGCCGCCGGCTACGGGGGAGGGCTGTGGCAGCTGCCGCCGGCTGCGGGGGAGGGCTGTGGCAGCTCCGGCTGCTGTGGCGGAGGGCTGTGACAGCTGCTGCGGGGGAGGGCTGTGTGAGCTGCGGTTGTGGGCCAGGGCTGTGTCAGCTATGACAGCTACGGGGGAGGGCTGTGGCAGCTACCGCCGGCTGCTAATCGAACAGCCCCGCGGGGAGGTTGCGTCAGAAGCTGCGACAGCTGCTCCGGTCCGGATAGCGGGCCAGCTCGGGCCCAACTAGAAACCCAAATACGCATCACGGCCTGTCGCAGCCGCTGACGAATTGGATGATATTGTACGGTCTCCGGACCGGACCTTCAGACATGTGAGCGTCGGCCAGTACGTTTATTGCTGTCACATGCGGGTATTCACTCTGTCCACTCTAAGTCCCGAGCTGTTTTATGTTTTTTTTTCCGTGCGCTGTTAGAATTGTTCGGCTCTATTTATATTAAAATGCAATCCATTCTGCGACATGTGCTGCGAAACGATGGCAATGGCAATACATTTGCGTTGCTAAGGATGCGATATGTAGGTCAAGGTATGTTTGTCTTAGAAAACAAACATTCCTCAATGGAAACGGAAGGACCACAGCACTGTTACAGTGTTGGACGCCTGTGCCTGAAATAGCGGCACTATGGCTGCTCAGCTATAAACCATGGACACTGTCCAGCCGCCGGCTTATGCATTGGTAACGGAATCATACATTTGAAATGGCCAGCGGCCGACCAACACGGCTAAACTGCGCTGGGGCGAGGCTCACAGTTGAATTGGACATTGTGAGGCCGATGGGCGCCTACAGCACCCGGCGCCGGAAACGGGTCGACTTCTTCGATTTCGTGCATATGCTCCGTTTTAAAATGTGTTATAATTACGTGACGCATTTGCCACGCCTTCATGTGTCTTGAACGGACAGACAAGACCATTGGCTAAAGCCATTTGAAGGACGATATCCCTGGTACTCTGGAAGTGGTGTCCCGCAGCCTTACCGCCCAGCCTCCGCCATCCCGTTTGGCACGGTGTGCGGCAACTGTCCGCTTTATCTATTGTGACACCCCCTGACGTATAAAAACAGTAGCGAATGATGGGCTCCTAATCGAGGGGGCCGGCGGTTCTCGGTACGCCGCGTCTCCAGTGTCGATAACGCCAATGAGCGTGGTCATTGACCTTTGCCAATGGGATGGGCTCAGGGCGCATTGAATACCTAATGTCAGCGGTGGACGAGATTGTGTTCTGGCGTTACGGGGTGCGGCGGAGATTGTCGGCTTTCAAATGGAGCTGCTAAGGCGGCCGTTGATTCGTGTGAGCCGTTCGGGGCGGTGGCAGGTATTTGCTGAGACGACATAGAGGTCATCGCCGGCTCAGACACTGCACTGTCTTCAGTTGGAGTTTTTCCGTGACCCTATCATCGGCAGCCGCCGTCTGACCAATGAGGATATTGCGCCGACTGTCGACGAACGGCTGTCTGCTGCACGCTGATGTTCTGATGTTCTGATGTTCTTGTTGCGATTAGTCCCTATCGTCTGGGCTGGCGATCCTCGGGGACGGGGCGCCCGCTAACTAGGTGCCGCTGAATGAGGACATTAATAACCTAATGCGTCCGTCAGCACGCCGGCTTTTGTGGGCGGCTCATGCAACGTTGACTAAGTCTCGGCCGTGCACGTCAGCTCATTGATTGGCGGGCTGTGCAATGTGTAGTGGGGCCGGACAGCGCTTCCCATTCCGCAACATGCGTGTATAATTGTATATTCCGGTGCATTGTAGCACCGAATTGATAAATGCACCAAGAATGTAGGAAACTATTCAAACTAGAATAATGCTTAACAGGGCCTTATCTCACTTGCAATGGTATGATGACCTGAGTCTGGTTTGTGAAGAAGGACCAAAGAGAGGGGTGGACGAAGATCACTGTCATTTTATCGTTTATTTTAGTTCCAACGGGGGAACAATGCACGGTGGTTGGGGTACATGGTCTGTTGTTCCACTGGGCAATATTGTTTATATGCCGCTGTTTTTTCATTTTTACGGCGCCTGGTGTTACCAATATTTTTTCCTTGTATCCAAACCTCTTTGTCCGAGCAGTTACCATCAAAGCCATAGAACGTAGCAGTTACCATCAAAGCCATAGAACCTATCGATGAAATGTTTCCGAGCTTTTTTACCTCTTTCTAATGCTATTTAAATTCAAGTCTTCCGTTCCCTGTTCATCATCAAAGAGGCTTCAGGATCGGGGGTTGTATTCAGCATCTACCATGAATGGGGCCTTTTTAGTCTCTGCACGCGTTGAGGGCGCGCTGTGCTGCAGTTTACCCTGCGGGAGTTAGTTTGTTCTGAATTGTCGGAATGTCCGCTGCGCCGGCCCTCCGGTGGACGCCCAGCCTGGCGCTGTTTCACCGGGAGAATGGACGCATCCCCCGGGAAATTTAGGCCATCTTGTATGTGGCCGATCGAACTGTGGCGACCGGCGCCGTCCGCGCTGAGCCGGCCGTACAGGGCGCCGTCCGCGCAGAGCCGGCCCTACAGCTCAGCGGCCGCGCTGAGCCGGCCCTACAGGGTGCCGTCCGCGGAGAGCCGGCCCTACAGGGCGCCGTCCGCGGAGAGCCGGCCATACAGGGCGCCGTCCGCGGAGAGCCGGCCCTACAGGGCGCCGTCCGCGGAGAGCCGGCCCTACAGGGCGCCGTCCGCGGAGAGCCGGCCATAGGGGAGAGTGGGGCACATTCGTGCATGGGGCACATTCGTTTTCAGCAGTTTATGGGAACACGAGTGACTGCACGAGCTCAAGGTAAATTATGGAAATATGTCTATCATTGCCGCCCTTCGTTCACCGTAGAAGACAACACTGTACCTGCTGTCATGCTTGATAAAAACGCAAATTTGTAACATTCGTGAGTTTTCCAAACTTTTCTCATATCATCCATTTTCGTGATCCTGACTCGGAAATGTGGTTCAGCTTTTCAAAATTGGGGGTGAAGAAGCTCACTCTATTCACGGAACTGCTGCAAACTCGTTTGTTGAAAAAGTGTCATTTTTTCAAAAAGAAATTTTGAAATAGGTA